GATCTCTTCCAGTCAGTTGGCCAAGTGGTTGTTCTCCAGGTTTCTTGGCACAACTTGGTGAGCACGTCCAGGGCAGCATCTGTTAGCTGAAATATGTCAATTGGTATAGCATCTATTCTAGATATAGATAATATTCTTGTTTTCCAGACTGAAGTTGATATCCCAAAACAACCTCCTCATCTTGCAGGGTGTCTTTGTGCTGCTGTAACATAAATACCACAAATGGGATTGTTGGGTGCCATCTACTTGGGTCTGACTCCCATCAAGTCTACACACAAAGGGATGAAACAATGCCTGCTCTGTACTCACAATCACTTCATTGAGCCTGTCTGGCTGAGGGTCTTCAACAATAACAAAAATGTATCTTCTCAGTTATGTGCTGTCCAGTGGAATCCATTCAGAACTGACCCTCCAGAGGGTTTTCAGAGGTACTAGGTAAACAGCACAGGAGGAGATCGTACATCTTTTTCCCTCAGAGCAGTGGATTAGAAAGGCGCAGCTCCTTAATGGGGTGCAGACTCTAAGGTGTTGGTTGGAGAGACGGCAGGCTTTTATTCCTAGGTTTCTTGGTGGTATGTGGTATGGCACCCTTCCCCATCTCTGCTTGCTTGTTGTCTTGTTAAGAGAGAGAATCCATTTCTCAATAGGATTAGAATAAAAAATAAACTTCATTCTACCTCCCAGGATACAGCTGAACTAGGTTTCCAAGAGTGTAAATCTTCATGAAAATAGACTGCGGTATTTTTTTCCTGTAGAGCACCTGATGGATTAGGAATCCTGACCTATTTACATCAGCAGGACTACCAGGGGATTTAAAACCACAGATACAGAGGTTAGGATTCACAATATGCTTTTACGGAAGCAAGTTCAAAACTGCCTACTGATTCTGCCTTTATTTTTTTAAATTATTTTTGTGTGTGTACCGTCAAATTGGATCTGATTGATACAGGAGATTGTCCTTCCTCCTCCTGCAGAGTGTCTGTGATTCTGCTTTTTAGAAAATACTTGCATTCAATTTTATTTTGTAGTCCTGGGTTAGTGGAACCTAGTTGGCAGAATAATCCCATAAAGTGATTTGTCACAACACAGGAGTCAAGAGGCAAGAATGACAGCAAAGGAAAATCCAGGGCAAGTAACCACCTGCCGGAGAATAAATGCTTCCCCATTTCAGTCACTTCAGTAAAATAGCAGCTCTGCCATATACTGGCTGTGAGAATTTGGGCAAGTTACTTATTCTGTAAATCCATTTGCTGCTTATACAGTAACTCTGTAGCATCTACCTGCCTCATTAGTATCAAGATCAAAGTGAGATTAGTAAAGTGCACTGAGAAGCCTGGTTTAATAGCTGTCCTCCATCACCAGCCATTATTATTCTCCACAAGGAAAATGGAGCCACAGGAGGAAATTAGGGCTTGCATTATCTCATATGCAAGCTAGACAGAACAGTAAGAGCCATCTCTGGTGAGATGACCTTTTATTCTTTCACTTCTTGAGTCTTGGTTACACAATCAGTTTGAGGACATCTTCACTTCCTCCAACCTAACACATTCTTCTAGGTCCCTTACCACACTAGGGGTTTTCAAGCCCTCAAAGGGCTTCTGCTAAATTAGAAGGCTAAATTAGTTTCTTCCTTACTCCGTAAACTCCTATTCAACTCTTCAATTCTTAGATAAAAAAGTTATCTTCTTTAGAAGACTGCTCTAATTGTCTTCTTTGGGTGTCATTATATTTATCACTTTTTAAAAATATTTATCACTTTTGAACAACATTCAATAGACTATTTTATGCTTACATTTATCCTTCTTGACCCCTATACTCTTCCATATTTTTCTTTCTGCTCCATTGTGGAACAGAAAGAATTTATTTGTTGTGGTACTCATGAAAGAATGCATTTGATAACATTTTGTAAAATACGGTATGTAAATGAAATATACAAAGCCTTAGTAATTATGTACAATTATATTGAATTGAAGCAGCAGGAAAAGAATGAGGCTGAAATATAACCCCAAACCACCAAATCACTGTAACTGAGCCAATTCCAACTTAGAGTGATCCTACAGGACAGAGAAGTGCCTTAAAGGGTTTTGGAGGTTGTAAATATATGGGAGCGACTGCAATGGCTAGTGGGTCCAAATGGCTGACCTTCTGATTAGTAGTTAGTGCTTAACCCAGTGCGTCACCAGAGCTCCTCTGAAAGACAACCAACTTATAGTAATGGCTTTAAAAAAGAACTAGTAACCCACCCAAGTAAACACCACACATGAGAAACCACAAGATGTGTTAGTCAGAAAGGATATCTAAAAAAGTTTTACTTTTCTTTGTGTAATTTTTTTAATACATTTTAAGTCTTAGATAAAACAGTTAAATTGATACCATTAGGAACAAAATATGGCACAGAATCCAGAAAATATAGCATATATTTCTTTGTTTTGCATTTAGGCTTTTTAGTCACTATGCATTGATTATCGATTCGCCAAAGACAGTTAGTTAACAGAGACTGGAGAAGATATGACAAACATCTTTTATTTCATCTAAAGAGGTGAAAATAAGTAAGCTTTCTTATATTTCTCACTCATAAGATTTTTTAAACTCTTAAAAATGCATTTTCCTCTTTTCAAAGCACATGCCATCTTAAAAAAGTCTTAGCAATGTACATTTGCACTCAAACAAAAACATGCAGCGCCATTGTCTTCTGACAAAATTCTGCATAAAAAAAACTCACGCAGTTTTCTGCAAATATGTTCCCTCTTTGTCATATAGGGACCCTAAACCACAAACATTCAGTGCAATATTTTTTCTCTTATTTCCGTAGGAAACACAGGACCAATGATGTCTTCTGACTACAACAGTCTCCCTCTGCTTTGAAGTATTTAACTTGCTGATGTAAATACTACTAGAATTCTGTAAAACTTGAGGATCCAGATGGAAGATGAAGGAGAAATACTTAACAAGCTACCCTGTGCCATTAACTGAGGAAAAACATTTACACAGGAAAACAAAAGATAAAAACCTCAGATTTTATCAATGCACCCTTTATAAAAAGTGTGGGTTTTTTGTTTTAAATTTCTGAAAGCAGCTTAATGTGAATCAAAAGCAGTTCCTGAGTAACTGCAGTAAACAGTGTCTTTTTAAATATATATATTTTATATATATTTGCAACTTAGATCATTTTGGTTCTGTCTTAAGTTACCTCCCCGCTATTAGTTTAATCACAGCCCCTTTCTTCCTCTCACTTCACAATGTGCAAGTACAATATGCATCAGCTCCAAAAGTCCACATGATGCAGATGGTTCTGGTAACTTCTGTATGATGATCTGCACTTCTGTAGGTCAGGTGTCCAGAGTCACTGCAGATCGTTTTTCTCTGAATCTCATAAAACTGTGAGATCCATGGGTGCGCTTCACGTTTTCTTCAGCATGCGCCGTGACTGCCACGTGTGGAACTTGTTGTACGCTGTCTGGAGCATCTCTTCTATGTGACTTACCAACTGTAAAACACAGCAGGACAAGTAAGCAACAACTGGTGAAGACTGGAGAAGTTAATGCTTCTCATTAAAATCTGGCGCTCTTTCAAGAGTATACTTTCCAAGCTCATTTGCATTTCCTCAAAGAAGCAATATGCAAACCTTCTGAGAAGCACTATCAGACATGTGCTATATAGAAATGGGTGTTGGGGTGCTTTAGAGGCTGAATATGAACCTGTCCTGTGTGGTATGTAATATTTGTCTATTTATATGGACATCATAACTATGCTCTTAGGTCAGCAGTCTCTAGCTAAATGAAGGGGCTTAAGGAGACTGATGATTTCTAGATTTAAACATTAGTTGGCCAGTGTCATGTCAGACAGTGGCATCAATATTATGGCATCAATATTATCTATTAGAATGCTTGGAAAAAATGAGTCAGTCGCAGGTCTGGGGATGAGACCCGGAAATGTTCTGAAGCTCAAGCAGTTGATTATGATGCAGAGTCAATTTTGTGAAGCACTTTTAGATATTCTTTCTCTAGGAAATTTTCCAGCTCTAGTATTTTAGAATTTCAATTTAACTTGGTAAACTACAGAAAATCTAGATTATTCCAATGTGTGGCACAATTAGGCCAGAATTATAAAGCATTTGTGGAGAAGAATATTGCTTTCTCTTAGAAGTCAACAGAACTATGTGAACTGACAAAACTTTTTAAAAAATTTTATTTTATACTGGTTTCTATCTGACAAGACTCTTGATAAAGAAAGTTTCTAATTATATTTGCTTCTTTGGGGGGACGATGACAGTGTTTACATGGTAGGTAGGTGGGAAATGAAAGGACATCAGGGTAAGTTTTAGGATGTCAATGACTCAGGTTCAATTTGAAATACAAAATTATAATTAAAATCTGATTTATCATTTCTGTTTTTTCATAATTTTGATGCTATGTTAACTAGCAGCTATGGGAGGTTAGTGGTAAGTGGTGCTGCCAATCCAAAGGTTTTGAATCCACCAGCTACTCTGAGGGAGAAAGATGGGCAGTATCCTCCGGTGTGATTTACAGTCTTTGAAAAGGCACTAGAGGGTTAGTTATGACAAGATTCTGATTCAACACCACAAAACAACAATAACTTCACTTTGGAAATTATCAAATTTGTCTGATGGGCAAGGGTGGCTGTAGAAAAACATTAAAAAGAGATGAACATCATATCCTCCTGGTAGTTCAACCAAACGAGAAGATACATAAACTGAAACCTATCTGCCACCTTTACCCATCAGGAGGGAGACATTACAAGTAACTTTTTCTGACTGCAGCTAACACTAGGGAGTAAATACTTAGTGAAATTCTTACTGATGAAGAATTTTCATCTTTTAATCATAAAAATGTCTTTTCTTGCAATCTTATTATTAAAGCCATGTCTGGGAGAACTTGCTTAGTTGCTCTAGTCTTGCTTCAAAAACAATGTCAAAACAAAACAAAAAACAATGTAAAAAATCATGGGCCCATCTACAACCAGGAGAAGACAAAATAGACGAATGGGACCTTCTGAGAATCAAATCCCTATGCATATCCAAAAACTTCTCCAACAGGGTAAAAAGGGAAGCCACAGACTGTGAAATAATATTTGGTAATGACACGTCAGATAAGGGACTTACGCCGGCGAGGCTGTGGAGAAACTGAAACCCTTATTCACTGTTTGTGGAAGTGTAAAATGATGCAACCACTATGGAAGGCAGTATGGCACTTTCCCCAAAAGCTGCAAATAGAAATAACATTTGACCCAGCAATTCCACTGCTGGGAATATACCCTAGAAAAACTGTAACTGCCACCCAAGCAGATGTATGCACACCCATGTTCACTGCGGCTTTGTTCACAACAGCAAAGAGTTGGAAACAACCTAAGTGCCCATAAACAAACAAATGGATAGAGAAGCAGTGGTATACTGACATAATAGAGTACTATGCTGCACTGAAAAATAAGGAAGTAATGAAATATTATTCTAAATGGATGACCCTGAGGACATTATGCTGAGTGAAATATCTCAGTCACAAAGGGACAGATACTGCATAATGCCACTGTTGTAAAATGGGACTAACATCGGGGTTGGGGGGGGAGACTGAGAAAGAGGGATCACATATGTACACTGCACTGAAACAGAGGAGAGAGAGAACTGTTTAAAAGCGATATATAATTCGTTATTATTATCTTGACAGGAGTCCAGAATGAAGGCTGCATAGAGGAGTGAACCTGGGTCCAGGGATTGTATAACAATGAAAGAATTTTTCTTTTACTTTTCCAAGAGCGAATTGGGGGGAGGAGTGGGCAGGGAGACAAATACAATAATGAATGAATGGAAACCCAAAATCTCTATAAATGTTCATGAAAATTAATTAAAAAAGAAGTTTGTTTTTTTTTTTTAAAAAAAAAAGGGGAAAAAAGGTCATGGGCCCACGGTTTGGATCCACCAGACGCTCCGCTGGAGAAGGGAGCGGCAATCTCCTCCTGCACCAGTTGGATCAGATTTGGTGGTACACACACACACACACACAAAACTAATAAAAAAAAATCACGGGCCCAAAGCAACAGGGATCACACAGTAGTTTAACCACTGACTTCCCTACAGAAACCAATCAGGGAAATGGAAGTCAGATGAAAATCAAGAGATTGTTCAATTTAATGTACTAGACCAGAAAAACTGCTTTTTACTTACGCTGCTAGGCTTGTGCTTACTACTTAGATTTTAAACATAAATAACATATAGTTTAGAAATATATACATATATATGCAAAGATATTAAAAAAAATCATGGGAAATGGTTATCACTTGCAGCCCATGGAGAATGAAATTCGCAATCAGAAGGAGGCACTCGAGAATATCTATGGGTACAAGCACTGTTCTATTTCTTAGTTTGACTGGCAAGTACACAGGCATCACTTTAAAAAGTCACTTAAGGGCTCAATCACTGAGCTGCCGCCGAGGACTCAGCTGCCTTCCCCTCAAGCCCCTTTGCTTCCTGTCACTCTGACCGCCCACCGTCTTCTCCTAACATGGTCTTCCACAGGCTGTTTCCACTGAGGAAAAGGAATCCTATTATATGTCCATTATCCAGGACCTCCACTCTTGCTGGGACTGAGGATTATATCCATATAAGAATTCAACAGAGAAACAGCAGGAAGACCCTTAACAACTGTCCAAGGGATTGCTGATGAGTATGATAAAAAGAAACTAGTACTTAAGAAGTAGTTTGCCTGCAATGGTACTGTAAATGAGCATCCAGAATATGGAGAAGTAATTCAGCCACAGAGTGACCAGCACAAGAACATATGCCAGTTCCTTGTAGAGATTGGACTGGCTGAGGATGCCCAGCTGAAGGTTCATGGGTTTTAAGTGTTTGTGGCTCACTGAAGCTTAAGAGAGGATTTACTTGCACTGAGTAAAAAAATGTCCCTTTTGTCCCTTGTCCAAGTTTAAAAATTCACAGCTTGTATAATGTAACCAATTGGGGTCCACTTTTAGCTTGGACTAGTGTAATTCTTTCATACAATAAACTGAAAAGAGCCATGTTAAAAAAAAAAGTTATTTTTTATACACACACACACACACATACACACACACAAACACAAACACACCCCTATTTCATACACTTGTTCAAATGAGTATTTTACAGTTAAAAAACAGATTTCCTATCCATCTACACAAAAAGCAAAGTTAATGTCAGAATTTTACTATGCACAGAAAAAAACCCAGGCTGTGCCTTACATTTGTGCTTAAATACTGTCTCCTAATTTTTTCTTGGAATGGGCAGAGCTTCGTAACCTGGAATCGTTCCAAATTACTTTTCATCTTCACTACCTAAAAAAAGATGGCAGAAATATAGGTTATAAAGAAACTATACAAAGAAACTATCAAGACACTAAGACAAAAGCACTACCTTCTATAAAGGAAGATTAATCTAAAGAAAACATTAATTGGATTTACCAACACTAGAAACAAATACCTAGGAGATGTAAAAGTTTTCTTAAAAGCTAAAAATTTCAGGGGCAATCTCCTCCTGTACCAGTCAGATCCGATTCAATGGTGTACACACACACACACACATACACACACAAAAGAAAGCAAGCTAAAAATTTCCATGACAAAGAAAGATACTGTTAGTTGCTAAAGAAAAAAAAATTAAAATGAAATAAAATGTGTTATTTTAGCCTATCACTTAAAATTCATTGCTAACACTATAGTTTATAATTAATATTCTCCTGTGTTATTTTCTGTGTATGCATAAAATGTTAAGCCCTTATAAGAGAAATGTATTATGATAAAAAAAACCATATTAAACTTTTTTTTCCCATTTTTGTTTTTGGGTTTTTTTAAAATGTCATTATTTTTTTATGTATGTACCACATACCATCTGACTGGTACAGGAAATTGCCCCTCCTTTTCTAGCAGAGCATCTAGTGGATTCGAACTGTGTACCTCTGGGATTGCAATACAGCTTCTTGCCACTAGGTCACAGGAATGTGAGAATTTAAAGGAGTTGCAGTGGCCCAATGGCTAAAGCTCTCAGCTGCTAACAGAAAGGTCAATCATTTGAATCCATCAACCACTCAACAGAAGCCAAGATCTGGCAATCCATTTCTGTAAAGCGTGCAGCACAGAAAACTAACAGGCAGTTCTACTCTCTGACCTAGGTATGCTCAGAACTGGGACTAAATGCACACAGCAACAGTTTACACTACCCAAACAGGTGGCAGCCTGGAAAGGTTCTGACCTTTTCTTCTAGGAATGGTGTATTAACAGGAAAGCAGGACCAGAAGTCCCGTAAAAGTTCTCCAACAGCCACATATAGATGTTTCAATTCTGACTGAATGTCATTTGGCACCATCTCTGCAAAGGAAGAGGTCCATGAATTAAATGCTAATTTCATATACACAGTTTCTTGCAAACTGACCAACCAAGAAACTAAACTAGAACATGTACATTTTACTAACAGCAAATCAAGATATGCTAGCCTGAGATAAGTTATTGGCTCTATGGTTGAGAGATCACCATATTTACAATTACTTGGCACTTTTAAGGAACTTTCTAATTATAAAAGGCAGGGGAATAAAAACAAAAACAAAAAAAACCAACAACAAAAAAAACCAAACCCGCTATTACTGATATACCAGACTAACAATATTCTACTGCTTGTGACATTAAAACTTATGTTCTTGGGGAGCTCTGGTGGCCTAGTGGCAAGAAGCTGCACTGCAATCCCAGAGGAGCACAGTTCGAGTCCACCAGATGCTCTGCCGGAGAAGGAGGCGCAATATCCTCCTGTACCAGTCAGATCTGATTTGACGGTACAAGCACATAAAATAAAAAACAAAAAAAACCTTATGTTCTTATCTCATATATTTCAGTTATCTATAAAGAATAAAAAGGGAGCTCTGGTAGCACTGGCCATAGAGGTGCATGGCTACCCCAAAGACTGTGTTTTTTTGATGGTGTTAATTTTCCACTTGATCCAAGGGAGATAGGCAATGTGATTTATAGCCTTGGAAACTTCAAGGAGTGTTAAGTGTGAGTCAGCTCTGACTTGATGGAGTTTGAGATTCAAGATATGTATAAAAAACCCTATAAACAAAAAAACCCTTAAGACACATTCCAAAGAAAAACCAAAACCACGTCAGCAATCCTAACTGGCTCTTTAGAGCAGAGACAGTAGTTGAAGTGGCTCAGCACGTACGGTTTATGGCTTGCTGTGTCCCTCCCTGCATAAGTGCTCCTCCAGGCGACAGGGCTGTGATGGTACTACTGGCTGCACTACTTGAGAGAACCTGAAAGAAATTAAGACACAGAAATGGACTTTTCTCCTTTCCAGCATTATTTAGCATTTTTGTTTAAAAGTAAAATGTCTGTACAAATACATCACTTATAATGACTAGAATGAATCACTATGAGGCCAGAAACACAGAATCAGTAAAGAAAAAAAACCCAAAAAACAAAGCAGCAACTCTTTAGCCATCATTTACATGATGCCACTAAGTAGCTACTGCTCAGAGCTATCCTACAGGGTGGAGAACTGCTCCTTAGGGTTCCTAAGGAACCTATTATCTGTGTAGAAATAAACGGTCACATCTTCATCTTTCTTTTGCATTGACTAGGAGGGCTGGACCACCGATGATTCAGTTTGAGGCCAGGCACTTAACCAGGTGCCAGGTCGTTGGCAAATCCACACACATCAAAACATCTTTTGTCTAAGAAGTTCTTTAACAACAAGTGAATTTACTTTGGAACTCTTACCATTAAAAGTAAAATTAACTGTATAACTATACATACATATACCCTTGATAGGAACTGAAAAATCAAAATAGCAGAAATGTATTTACTTTTTCAAGCAAAAAGGCTCCCACTGGCCAAAGCTAGAGCAATGAGGCAGTGAGAATATTAAATCAACAATATGAACAACAATAACAAAAAAATTCCAGCAGTCACATACTGGGAAGTGTGAAGCGTTTTGTGGATACTCAGTTTTCTGGGTGATAGAAACTATTATCTTGACTAAGCTTGTGGTTATGTAGTTTTCAAAACTTAAAGAAGAGATAGGGCAATTTGTGTTTGTTTTTTTTTTTTAATTACTTTTCTGTGCGTGTACCGTCATATCAGATCTGACTGGTACAGGAGGAGATTGTCCCTCCTTCCCCGGCAGGAGGGCAATTTTTACAGTACATAATTACAACCAATTATAAGCTATAAACTCACATAAGAATCCATACTTATTTAAAAAAAAAGAAAAAAAGAATCCGTACTTATGTGAATAAACGATTGGAGAAGGGAAAGCCCCTTCTTTCAGCTGAATGTCTATTGACAAATGTAGAGAGGAAGAAAAAATAGAGAATCAGCATAATAAATGAGATGAGAATTACTCATGGGCGATAAATAATTAGTGCATGTAAGTTCGTGCCAAGAAATCTGGAGAACCACCACTTGGCCAACTGACTGGAAGAGATCGATATTTGTTCCCATCCCAAAGAACGGTGAACCAACAGAATGAAAACTATAGGACAATCTCACTGATTTCACATGCAAGCAAGATTCTACTGGAGATTATCCAAAAATGACTGGAACAGAACATCAGCAGAGAACTTCCAGAAGTCCAGGCTGGATTTAGAAGGGGTCATGGTACTAGGGATATTGCAGCTGATATTAGATGTATCTTAGCTGAAAGCAGGAAGTACCAGAGGAATGTCTGTGTTTCATTGACCAGCGCAGGTGTTTGACTGTGTGGATCATAACAAACTATGGCTGACTCTGAAAAGAATGGGAATCCCAGAACACTTGATTGTTCTAATGTGAAACCTATACTTGGACCAGGAGGCAGTCGTCAGAGTAGAGCAAGGGAACACTGCATGGTTCAAAATTGGGAAGGGCGTACGCCAGGGATGCATCCTATCTCCATAATTTCTCAACCTATATGTAGAACAGATTATCCGGGAGGCTGGGCTCTATGAGGAGAAATGTGTGGTCAAGATTGGTGGACGATTTATCAACAATCTGCGTTATGCAGATGACACAACCCTGCTTGTTGAAAATGAAGAGGACCTGAAGCACCTGTTGCAGAGGGTCAAGGACTGCAGCCTCCAATATGGATTGAGGCTCAATGTCAAGAAGACAAAGATTCTCACCACTGGACCAATTGGCAGCATCAGGATGGATGGTGAAGAGATTGAGATTTACACAGCTCAGCTTTAGTTTGCTTGGCTCCATAGTCAACAGTATTGGCACCAGCAGCCAGGAAATTAAAAGGCGCATTGCCATGGGAAAGTCTGCTGTTAGGGACCTCTCCAAAGTACTGAAGAGCAATGGTGTCTCTCTGGAGACTAAGGTGCGTCTGATACAAGCCATGGTCTTCGCAATCACTTGTTATGCATCAGAGAGTTGGACAATGACCAAGGAGGATAGAAGGAGAATTGATGCCTCTGAGCTGTGGTGCTGGAGAAGAGTATTGAGGGTACCATGGACTGCTAGGAAAACAAACAGATTCATCTTGCAAAGGGTTAAACTGGGTGGATCCTTGGAGGCAAGGATTCTGAGGCTCCATCTAACATACTTTGGACATGCTGTGAAGAAGAGACCGGTCCCTGGAGAAGGACATCATGCTTGGTAGGGTGGAGGGACAGTGCAGGAGGGGAAGGCCCTCTATGAGGTGGATTGATTCAGTGACTGGGATAATTGGGATGGGAGTGTCAGAGACCGCGTGACTGGCACAAGGCAGAGCAGAGTTTAGGGCTGTTGTACATAGGGTTGCTATCTCGACGGCACATAACAACAAGTTTGATGGGAAGTAGGAAATTGATATAATCTGAAAGTTACTAGTTACAAGCTATGATATTTACTAATTACAAAGAGAAAAATAGTAGTACTGAAACAAATTACATGCCATTTTAACCAAGTGATTCAAGTTAGATCACCAGTGAAGGGACAAAGAATATGCAATCCTGTACACTGCATAACACACTGAAGAAGGCACATCATTTCTTTCTCAATCACGTTAGAAAAAACCCAATTAAGGACATTAAAAAAGAAAATTGGTTTCCAAATGTCAAAGTTATGAAGGATAAAAACTGGAAAATTATACCATTTTAAAAGGAACTAACACGGTATGAAAGCAAAGTGTGGTGTGGGATCCTGGCTCAGCTGCTGAACAAAGAAAATTTTTCTTCTGCAATAAAGGTGACATTTGGGAAAGACTTGTCTGCAAGTACTAATACCTTAACAATGCTAATTTAGGAATTGTATTTTTATGAGGATTATTTGTTCTGGCATATGAAATATTTGGGAGTGAAAGGATTATCATGCTTGTATTTACTCTCAAAGTGGGTCAGAAAAAAAATTTTAAAAACATCTCAGATTTTAATAAATCAGAATTAAGAAATTCAGTCCTGGCTAAGCAGGGTTGGGCCTGGTTAGTACTTGGATGGGAAGAAATTATGTCCTGCTTTTTCTGACTCTGCTGTTGCCACAGCACCTGTGAAGAAGTGGTGGCAAAAGGAGGTGAAAAAAGAGAAGCAGGTTGTGAAGTTCACCCTTGACTGTACCCATCAGGTAAAAAATGGAATCATGGATGCTGCTAATTTTAATTTTGAGCTGTTTATTCAAGAAAGAATCATAATTGAAAAGTTAATTTCAGTGGAGGGGTTGTAACCATTGAAAGACATAAGAGCAAGATAACTGTAACCTCCAAGATGCCTTTTTCCAAAAGGTATATGAAGTATCTATCATACCAAAGAATATCTGAATAATCATCTACATGACTGGTTGCACACAGCTGTTAACAGCAAAAAAGTTATGAATTACATTATTTCCAGATTAAACAGGATGAAGATTAAGACTCATCCATCTCAAATATTGTGTTAGCCCTTGAATAAAACATAGAGGGGAAGAAATTAAGTCCTTAATGTGATAGACATGTCAATTTGGTTACAGATTTAAGTGTTTACGGGGATAAAAACCAAAAAAAAAAAAAAAAGAAAAACAACTAGTAACCAACGCCTCCCTGGACATGTTGAGGTTTGTAATAAAGAGGGTGAGCAATGAAGAATTAACTTAGGAGTAGTTCCTCCAGGGCAGAATTAAAGATAAGGGCAAAACGGAAGAATGAACAAAAGCACAGGATGTATGAAGGGGAGGTGATTATGTGTTAAGCTAATGTGTTAGGCTAGAATGGAGGAGGAGTATTGCTTGTGCGTGGAAGGGAAAGAGAAGAACTAAGACCAGAGAAGTGGGCAAGGTTCGGAGTGTAAAGAGTCTTACTTTTGACACTAACAGAAAGAATATAAACTACGACAATGACATTCTTCATGGATGGTATTTTTTATATCCTCCCACAGGTCATTTGGTCTACACTCATTGGTGCTCAAGGTCTCAAACCTGTTCCTGAGATGGTTTTGAAATTCGAGTGGGATAGACTTAAGGTCAAATCTTGGTTCCTGTGGATGTGATTTAATTTTCTTCAACTTCAGCTTGAACTTGCACGAGTGGTCTGTCCCACAGTCAGCACCTGGCCTGGTTTTCACCGCTGTCTTTCCACAAATGTAATCAATTTGATTCCTGTGCATACCATCCATGTGTATAGCCTACGTTTGTTTCTTATAAAAGGTATTTGCAATGAATAAATCATTAATGTGCAGAATTCTATCATTCTGTCTCCAGCCTCATTTCTGTCACCAAGCCCGTGTTTTCCAGCTACTGATCCTTCTTCTCTGTTCCCAACTTTTGCATTCCAGTTGCCCATTATTATCAATGCATCTTGTTTGCATCTTTGATTGATCTCTGACTGCAAAAGTTGGTAGATATCTCCCAATTCCTCTTCGGCTCTAGCTGTCGGTGCATATATTTAAATGATAGTGGTATTCACTGGACTTCCTTGTATGTGTATGGATATTATCCTATCACTCACCAAATTGTATTTCATGATGGATCTATTGTGGTTCTAGAAATGACTTTTTTAATTATGAAAACAACCCCTTTTTTTTTTTCACCTTTTCACCCCCACTTTAGTAGATCATATGATTATCAGATTCACAATGTCCCGGGCTAAGACATCTCATTTAGCCAATACCTTTTACATCAATATTTATGCGTTACATTTCTTTCTTAACAATGTCCAATTTTCCTGGACAGATGCTTTTCTGAGGGTATCTTTTCTGGGCATATTGTGAGGTTGCCAGAATTCAGCAACTAATGCTGTGGCAAGCTCCACACATAGAACCATGTGAGACTTAAGCTATGCATATTAGCAGCCAGCCTATGCAATTGCTGTATATCTTTTCAGGTACAAACAATGGGCAAACGGTGGCTTAAGAAGGGTCAAATGGGTGTATGAACATACATACAGAGCGAATTCAGAATTCCTCATGGGGAACCTCTATTAATTTCTGCCCAGCCTACTCCTAAACCACACTGAGCTCTAAGTTTGGAAACAGTGTGGATGGCCTTGACTTTGACAGGCTTAGGTCTGCAAGCCCCAAGACTAAGACTTCATGAAGATTCCTGCAACTGACATGTTTTAAAAACAAAATTTAAAAATCAAGTTTATAAAGCTAATATCAATTTAATAGAAACAGATGTTTAGACATGATTCCAACTGTATATAGTTCAATCTAGTTTTGTGGGAACTCTGATCTTCAAACATTACATGCCACGTACCTGAGTTAGTTTGGGTGTGTAAGCTTCCATTTCTTGTCTAATACTTTGAAAAGAGTTGATAATGTCCTGACTTGTTGCATACTGTAGTGACTGGATTGGAGTTGGACCATGATAATACCTGAAGGTCAGCACAGAAGATAGAAATGACTAATCAGAGTAAAGGTGCTCAACATTTGCCTTTCAGACATTTTAATGTTTACTACAAAACTCCCCCCAGGCAACAGAACAATTACTGTGGTTAAAATGAGTCAAATAAAATTATCCAATCCAGAAAAGAGCTGTTAAGGAGGCAATAACACAAAGATCTAAATGTTATCTTTTTTGGCTTTGATCATTTTAGATGATTGTCTAAGACACACTGTACATTTTTCTACAAGTAATTTTACGGTAACAGACCAATTAAAACACAAACGCTACACTTACAGAGTACAAACATTCTGCATGGAATTGTTAGATTAATTATTTTGCTTCAAGTTAACCCAAACTTACCTATCTGACTTCTTGAGGTTTAGTGCAATTGTTTTAATGGAATTATTTTTCCCCAAGTCTTCATATTCAATGGATTCTTGTAACTTTGCCTAAAGTAGTACCATAATACTTTTTGTTAGTAACTGTAACATACCAGTAATAAACATGAATGAAAAAAAAATATAGAAAGCTAGAACATCTTACATGAGCCTAACTTTCTAGAAATAATAGCCATATAGATATGCAATCTAATACATACTTTCATTACCACTTAGGAAGAATACTTGTTTTAAATTTCAATGAACTTTCAATTATTGTCAGTCTGGTAGGTGAAAATTTGTATGCCATTGTTTTACTTCATCTCACATACTTAAGGGGTCAGTCCATGAAAAAAAGGACATTATTACTGGGAAAGGTGGAAGTTCAGAGAAAGAGAGGAAGACCTCTAACAAGATGGACTAACATAATGACTGTAACTATGGATTTGACTATATCAGAGATGGTGAAGAAGGAACAGGCTAGGGAAACGTTCAGATCTGTTGTTCATAGGATTTGCTATGAGTCACAGTTGACTAGATGGCATGTAGGAACAAAGAGTGAATCTTCCTCATTCCTGGATGAGGAAAAAAAAGGGTAAAAGTGCTAAACAGAAGAATTCATAGGCAGATCAAAAAGACAAAGTATGTTAAAAGACTACGTAAAGAGCTAGAGTTGAAGAATAAAAAATAATGGAAGTACTTACTTGGTGTTACTCATGCTAAAAGAACTGAAAAACAAATTCAAGCCTCGAGTTGAGAAATGTTATGGACAAAATCTTGAATGATCCAGGAAGCACTGAAAAAATATGGAAGGAGAGAGCTCTGGTGGCCTCGTGGCAAGCAGCTATGCTGCAATCCCGAAGGTGTATGGCTCGAATCCACCAGATGCTCCACTGGAGGAGGGGCAATCTCCTCCTGTGCCAGTTGGATCAGATTCGACAGCATACAACAATAACAAGAAAAAATGGAAGGAATATACAGTCACTGTACAAAAAGGACTGGTTGTTTCCCTCTTGGGTCCTCAGGTGGAGGAATGGTGGTGGAATGGCAAAAAGAGAGGAAGATCCTCAATGAGATGGACTGACACAGTGACCTGCAGTAATGGGCTCAAGTATTTCAGACACGGTAAGGAAGGCACAAGATAGGACAGGGTTCAGATTTCTTGTTCATAGGGTCACTATGAGTTGTACTCAACTTGACGATATTTCTAATAACAACAATTTTTCCATGATGAGATACTCATTTCTTATTTTCTGCTATTTTAAAAATTGAGTATACCTTTTGATTTAATGGTGGTGGTAGGTTACGATGTTCTAAGGAATGTATTTATTATGTTTTATAAATATTTTATCTTCCAGATTAAAGTTTATAAAGTTTTTTATTATAATTTACTTATTTTTTTTACTTAAATTTTTGATCCACCTGTAATTATATAGATTAAGATAAGGAATTTGAGTGTCTTTAATTAAAGAATTAACTAGTTGTTCTTATTATTTTTGATAATAACCAGGCCATGCTTATTAACAATTTTTATGTGCTTGAATTTACTTCCAGACTCATTAGTACACCTGACTGCCTTTATTTAAAGACACTGGACGGCTCTCTTAATGTACAGGAAGAAATCTAATTTTCTTAGCACATTAAAATAACAACACATCAGTTTCATTTTATAAAAAAATCAGACACACACACACACACACACACACACACACACACACACACACACACAATGTATTCCCTCCTTCCCTTGATACACTTGGTCCGTGACTGCAATACTCATGTCAGAATTGCCTTTCCCCTATGTTATTCTCACTTCTAGTCTACTGTTTTCTTACTTAAACTGTTATCTTTACTCTCAAAATAATTTAAACCCTAAACGTTGGCCAAAACTGAATTATGTTACTTGACTTCCACACTTAATTAAAAGCTCCACGGATGTAGGGACTCTGTCACTATGACTTTAGAATGTAAATTTTATAAACTCCTCTGTAGAACACATAGTAGTCAAATGTTGAAGGAATATTTAGGGATAACATTTACTCTTAAGTACTGTGCAAATCTGCAGACAGAAATAATTAAGTAACTTTTACTATCAAGAATCAAAGGTACTTAGTCCAACATATTGAAAAGTCTTACTTCTTAAATTTCTCTTAAAAGATTCCTTGTTTACATCTGTTTGTAATTTAAATTTCAGTTTTATTTTTCATGCAAAACTTTCTTTTACTGCCTCTCCCATTTTTCTTCCTTGCAGGAGCTGGTAGATTTGAAACTCCTACCTGGGTTATCCGTGCAACTCTTTATAAACCAGGCCCTTTACCAGAAAATAATCTCTTAGCATTTTACTTGAAAGATCTTTTTAAATGCCTATTTTTCTTAATGTGTACAATTAAATCACACAGCATGTTTTGTGAACTTTTTGGTTCACTGTATCATCAATTTTTGTAAAGTCATTGAAGGCTGCATTAAACTCCAAAGAACATACTTTGGATATTAGGTTGTTTGCTATTTCTAATATCACAAAAAGGTTTATATAGGGAGCTCTGGTGGCCTAGTGGCAAGAAGCTGCACTGTAATCCCAGAGGCAGGCAGTTCAAATCCACCAGATACTCTGCTGGAGAAAGAGGGGCAATCTCCTCCTGTACCAGTCAGATCTGATTTGATGGTACACACACACACACACACA